ACACACACACACATTTATATATACGGTTGAAGAATTCTGATGGTGAAGAATGGCTAAAGTGTGCGGTTTCCCTAATATAGAAACTAAAATAAAAAATTTGATATCAGTTGATAATTCGTTTATCACTAATTAAGTCCCTATCACAAATAATTCTTAGCGTAAATTAACTATTTTGATTTCAGCAATTTCTAAGAAAAAATTTGAAGATAGGCAATTATGAGATAAAAATATAATTATGTGCCGCTGACAATCACTCATATCTTAAATATCTAATTTAAAAATTCATCTAAAATTTATCCTTAAAAAAAAATTATAATTTTTTTGCAAAATAAATGCAATATTTGCTGCAATATTAGTTTTATTATCGAAGATAAAAGAAAAGGATTTGATTGAAATAAAAAGCAAATAAAAATTGCTGATATCATATCTACATGATATGATAGTAATGATTAGAATAAATTATAAATATGAACAGGTAAATAAACAAAGAAGCTAATAAGAGGGATATGAAAAGTGTTAGAAGAATGTGATGAGAAAGAGAGAGAGAGAGAGAGAGAGAGAGAGAGAGAGAGAGAGAGAGAGAGAGAGAGGTGTGGAATATGAAAACAAACATTTCCTATTTCTATCAGACATCTGTACTTGTTCAGTTGGATTACAAATGACAGGAATATGCGACAGCAGGACAAACTGATTCTCAATATTTGAGCCAACCAAACCACTCCTATCATTCCCTGTCTTTGTTTCAAAAGATATTGGTGAAAAAAGATCTGCTTGATAGTGAGAATTATTTTTAGTATAAATTTCCAAAAATCTATATGACAACTAAAATGATAGTTTTACATAGGATTGAGAGAAAAAAATTCAAGTGGAACAATGTTATTAGCCAAGTATTGCATGCAAAAGAGTGCCACCACAGAATTGCTTTGGCCAGATGAAGGATAATTTTTAGCAATAATTAAAGATAAGCGTAAATGAATATTTTACATTTAAATATACGAATATTTATTGCATTTTACCATTTTAATTATGTTTCTCACATTTACGGACATTTGATCTTTTGAAGATTTAAACGACAAGAAGATTAAAATTTAAACGATAATAGGAAATGTTAAAAGATGAACGATGCTGATATTGAAATGGCTGAAAAAATTGAAGATGGCAACGATTAGATGAGAAAGGTTGAAAATTTATTTCATCAAATAAAGTGAATATTTTATAGGGAAGAAACAAAAAATTACATTAATAGGAAAAAAATTTAGATCTTTTTATCATCAATTTGAAAGCTTTTTCAATCTTTTTAAAAATTGATAAATGGATAATTTTAAAAAATTTTAAAAAAGCAACAAAAATTTCATTATAAATTCAATTCAAAATAATATGACATAGTAAGTTTGATCGTTAAATGTAAAATAAATGAAATAAACGTTAGCATACCTTAGCTTCGATGAGTTGTTTGGATTGTGGAAACTCAAAGATCGATTCCATATCGGTTGATGGTTGAATTATACGTAACGATGTACCACCTATATCAGCGTGAATTACTGGCTTGGTACGATATACTGACGATCGGGGTGACATTGGTCCTAATGGTGATCTAATGGGTGAGGCCTGGAAATGTATTTAAATTGCTGTTGAATATTTGAGATAGCGATATATCATTTCATATGTTCCGCAACAAATTTCAAAATGTGCTAATAGAATACATCTCTAAATTTAATTTTTAAGTAAATTATTCATTCAAATTTGTATAAATGAAGATGTTTTTTTTTCTATGGAAGATAACTGTGATATAATGAGAATATGTTGTGAGTGATTATAACTCATTGAAATTTATATCAATAAGGTTTGCTAAAAATTTTTTAAAATATGAATTTCCCATTGTTAATTTGGGTTTTAATTAAATTTCATTAAGGAAAAATTCGTTTCCATTTGATAAATTGACAATGAAGATGAAAATTAAATATGAATTATTTTGTACTATACTGTATCACATGTAATCTTTTATATTTCGAGAATTAGTAGCAAAAAAATATAATAAAAATATTTTAATGGAATAAACAAATAAGCGAACTGACAACCTCATTTCTCTGCCGTTCTCCACTATTCAATGCACCAGCAATTCGTAATAAATTCGGTGCACCCGGTTTTTTCTCAAATTCGGATATACGTGATGCAACGCTACCATTTGAAGGTATCGGGAAATTTGGCGCACTTCCAAAACGTACGCCACTACGATTCACATAGATTGCTGCTACATTATTCATATATCGGTGAAGTTTTTCAAAAAAAAAAAAGAAACAAAAAGGTAAAACGTTCAAAAATTGAAAAATCTCTTTCAAAGATTCAAATTACCATTTATATTAGTAACATACGGTATTTGCAATTTTTGAAAATTTAACTTTTCAGAAAACTTTAACAACTTTTCTACTCTTTTATATTGGAAAATGGCAGAAAACGTTAAAAGATTTTATAAAATTTGTAAGTGTGTAAAGAAAAAATCAAAAAATTACTTCCACGTGGTTCAAATCCAGCTTGTATTAACTGTTCACGTATGTTATGTCTGGGTTTTGGATGTGGCAATCCACTAGGAGTATTATAACTCGAACTTGCATCACTTGTAGCCTCAGGGCTTGGACTGTGCATTAGTAATGTACCATTCATTAATGATGTCAATGCTGCAACAAATAAAATTTATCGCTTTTCCAGTTGAGAAAAAGAAATTTTTCCTTTTTAATTAAGAAGAGAGATATTTTGAATAGTTGTAAAATAAATATTTTTCATTATAGATAAAAATTAATAAAATTCTTTGTTAAAAAATACCCGTAATTAAATTATCGCCCCTAATAGGAAAACAGCAATAATTTGAATAATGTTAAAATAATGCAAAATATTGAAAAATTTTAAATCAACTAAAAATGACAACATGTGGCGCAACAGTCATCATAATTTGATTAATTCAACTTGTCAAATATTTAACAATTGAGATGAATTGAGAAATATGATTTGATAGATAATAGGATAGTTTCAGACAAGTCAAGATTCCTTTATTAGCTCTCAGATTAGCTTTGTTTTAGAATGTGCTTGCATTACTACCATAAAAAGAAGCGTAACGTTATGCAAGTAACAATATGTTGGTACTGATATACTATTCGTAGATGAAATGAAAACTAAAATTTAAAAAAAAAAAAAACAGATAAGTTAATATAACTTTGGTAGTAACTTACATTCTCTTTTACCAATTGGACTGGATGTGGACAGATCATCAAGCGGAAATTTAGCACATCCGCTACTGCGATTAAGCGCATAATCGCTATTATTAAGCTCTGCTACAGCACTATCCAACGATGCAAAGTTTGGCTCAGTAATATCTCCATTGATGTTATTTTTTTTGATTTCTATCTGCAAAATATGCAAATATTCTTTTCTCATAAAAAAAATCAATCAGCGAACACTTGAAACATTTAAAACAAAAGGTCAATCGAATCTTTCTAACGTAAAAAATCAAAGGAGATCAATCATTTTTGAAAATGATTTTTTCTTTTAACTTTTTGCTATTATTTTTTGTCAAAAATGCCAATAGCTTACATTAATTGAAGGAATGATAATTGATTTTCTGCTAATAGCACGATCTGTTATTGGTGATGAACTTTTGATCGCTTCTAAAAAATTTGCTTTTCGTTTTGCTAAATTATCGCCGGAAAATCGTCGACCTGATCGACTTGTGCTACCTTCACTAATCGATTCGCTCAATAATTCCATACGTTGAGCAGCTGTTAGCGGTAATGAGTTACGTGACGCTGCTGAATTTCATTTGAAGAATTATTTTGAATTTTAGAAAGATCAATAATAATTGATTGCTGTTGGATTAATCAGTTGCAATAAAAACAAAAAAGAAAGAGAAGAAAGAACTGTTAATAAAGAATACCTGAATGATTTTTGATAATTGCAGTCCAAAAATCACCCAATTCTCGACGTGATGTTGGACGTTGTAGTTCGGGCGCTTCGGAAGCACGACGTCGTTCAACTGCACTAGCAAGAAGTGACTGTCGTCTGAAAAGATCATAAAATCATGGATGAAATCTGCTTTTTATCATGTTAACAAAAAAAACTGAAAATGAGGCACAAGCAATTAATTAAGCCAAGCAATAATGATTAACCTTCCATTATTAGAATCCAAATGTTCGTTAACTGTAAGATCCCCTTGACTTGCTGATTTTGCAAGCGTTCTTTTCGGTGAAGTCATCGAACCATTTGTAGTAAAATTATAATTGTTTGATATTGTCTCATCCGATGACAGTTCAATGTTACCAAAACGATTTCGCATCGTTGAAAATGATGATCTGAAATTGAAATAATTCATTGATTAAAGTACCTTGCAATATAAATCATTGAATATCTAGAAAGTTCCGAGTTTTTAATTTTGTTTTAAAGTTTAAAAATAAACTTAAATTTGCACTATGTAAACATATCGTTACATCTGTTATTTTTTTTTTCGCCCACAATATATGCAAATAAAATTTTTGCAAGAGTTGAATTTTAAAATAAGATCAAAATTTGTAAAATGATCATTTATTACAAACCGCCATTCCTTTGTTGATTTTGACATGTTTCCTTTTTCCTGTAATAATGATTCGTCCAGAAATGCGTCTAAACTGGAGTAATCAACGAGAGGTGCTGAAGAAAATTTTGACGTACTTTGAATATTATCCTTTCCTGTCTGTTCTCCTACAAGCATTTTCCATTCATTTAATTGCTCATTGAATATTACAATTTTAATTAGCAATAAATAAAAAGCTGTAAGTGCGTTATAAATTATCAAATGATTTATCTCAACACTGATCTTTACTTCTTTCCATAGATTTAATCGATCTTATCATTACATGAAAACGTGATTACACATGATATGATACGATTGTAGTAATTGTGCTTATTTCATGCTGAGATGAATATGATACTGCTAATCATCTGAATGGATATGATACGGAATGAGATCCTGTTCAACTAGTCGAGATTGATATGATACTGGTACCGATAATGGTAATTGATACTAATCGTATCAATTATCTCTACTTATTATATTATTTTTGATTGTTGAGCCGATCTTCGTGATTCTTTGTTATCTCTTCAGCAATATTAATTTGTATAACTGTTAGAAAATTTCCTTAACTACGAGGATGTCTTACCACCACCAAATGAATGATTGTATTTAGCAGCGATCAGTGAAGTTGCACCATGCGGTGACGAAATATTTGTTTTATTTAATTTTAAATCGTTTCGTGACAAATAATTCCAATTATTGTCTTGATCGATGTATGGAACGTCAGTTAATGCATCTGCATTAGATGCATCCTTTTCTTTTGGTATTGATAATTCAACAATGGGATATTTCACGTGCGTATGTTGACTTCCAATTGGACGATACGTTAAACGTTCAATTCGTCTATCGTCAGCTTGATAAATCTAAAAATATACAGCTGGAATGAAAAATTATATTTATAGAAATTTATCAAATTAAATTTTAAAAGTAACAACTATAGCTGGTATTTCTGTTGATTTTAGCACTTTACATTCAAACAGTCTGCATGAATTATGAAATGACAGTTTATCGCTAATAATACATAGTAAAGAAAAGAAGTCAAATTTACAATGAGATATTGTTCAGATCAACAAAATTAATAAATATTAGACAGAAAAAATGAATAAATCATTAAATTAATTACTGCATAGGTGATAGTTGAAAATTGTTGCATTTAATTAGGTAATTAAAATGTTCCCGTTTTTATACCATTTTATCAATGATAGCAATGTAGTGTTAAACTTTATCAGATGAAATTAATGAATCTTGGAAAGTTAATTTTTTACCGTACGTGTTTAATTAAAGTTTTACCTTTTCAGTTATTTTGTATGTCTTTCTTAATAATTGTAAAAATATCGACATTAGTCATTTGGAACTCTTATAATTTCTATTGTTAAAGAAATTAAGAATATTTATTTGGTACATTTAAAACGGAAAAAAAGAGAACAAACTTGAGGCTTTTTATACGGCAGATGATCTGTTCTTGAAATATCACGAGAAAATTGATCGGTTAATTCTGTTCGATTGGAAAATTGATTTCTTGCTCGATCTGCCGACAAAGCTCTTTTTTTTTCGACATTTTCAAAATTTTTAAACATTGTAAAAATTCATTCGTCAATTAATGATGGGATTTGAAAGATTTCGTAAGGTGAAAAAATTTTACACTAATTAAAAAAGTAAAATGACAATAAAAAAAAATTTGAACCCTGATGATCGATATTCTGTTATATGAAAATGATCGATGATCGGTAAAAAAGGCCATGATCAATGAATTTGTTTCTCATTGAAAATACGCATTTAAAATAGGCTTATTGACACACACACACACACACACACACACACACACACACACACACACACACACACACACACACACACACACAAATATATACCCGCTTAATGAAACAAAACAATTCTATCTCAATTGTCGCTTTTTCTGGGTCAAGGCTTTTACTGCCTTTCTAGTCATTTTAAATTTTAACCTTAACTAAATGTAGAATTTTAAATTCTACTCGCTTAATGTTAGTACTTTCTGGTCATGGACCTATTTGATGGCACAATGAGAGCGGTCATCTGTATAAATGAAAAAACGGAATAACCAATTTCTACTACACCGCTTGTTTGATAAAAAAAAAAAAAAAAAACCACAACTCCATCTGTTCAGATGGATAGGCTGAACACAGAAAGTTAGATCCAAGCTTAACTCGATTAAATAAAATCAATGAATTCAAATAGCTATTTCAAATTGTTTGTGAATTTGTTAAACAAAATTTTAAAAAATCCAAAGTTAGTTGAATTGTCGACAAACTCTATCGCCTGATCTAAATAGCAGGCTCATTGAGTTAATCTTTGCAAAAATTTCATCACTTTGTTTTGTCTTACCAAAAAAAAAAAAAAGAATTAGAAATTACCAATATTTTGTGAATTTGAATTGATGGATGAATTTGAATGGGATGCAATTAATAAATTAACTTCTTCAGCAAGCCTTGAATTTTTTATTTGCTCGTTAAAATGATTATCAGGAATAGCAATGCTTAGATGATGATAATCTGCTGAATCGTTTGGTGCACGAAGACTGAAATCGTCGTGATGTTCTTCCACTGAATAGAATTGCTGATTATGATTTAATGGTTTTTCTGAAAAATTACTAAACAAAAACATAATTATTTAATTTGAATTTACAATGACAGGAGAAAAAAAATCGAAATTTCACAGAAAAAACATTGCAAGTTTAAACGAAATTGATAAAAAAAATTTTTGTAGAATTTAAAATTTTAGTGAGGCGAATAAATGTGTCCATTTAAATTTTATTTGATAGTAATAACATATGTGTTGCTTAGGGAAAGACAAATTATATTGGAAAATTTTTGATTAAAAATACAGTTATTCTATGAAATATAAATTTGAATCATAATCCATTTCTGATGAAGAAAAATACGAATAATTTTCATATTAGATCATAAATCAAATCGTATCAGTTATTATAGAAAGTATGCCTACTTACTTGTTTGATGATTAAGAAAATTGCTTCTTTCTTCACGAGAAAAATTCCTCGGGTGATACGAATGCGCAGTTTCAATACGTGGTCGTACAACAGGTATGGAACGTGAAATATTGTTACAAGTGATTACACGTTGTGAATTTATTGAGGAATTATCGTGCACGTTCTGTTGAAATTTTTCTGAAAATATCAATTCCATGCATTTCCTGTATGAAAATTAATTTCAATACAACAATATATGTTATTTCGGTTTAATTCTAACTTCCAATCAATTCTTTTCAGTATTTGTTTATATACAAATGTAATTCTTTTGTTATAACCTGGAAAATTAGCTTTGTTAAATGCAAATGTAAGCGGTTGTTGAGAAGTTGGAAAATGATTGTTTGTTGTTGCATAAAGTAAATTTCTTGGACGATCATTAACACAAGAAATTGAGAATCGCTGTTGATTCATCAAATTAAGCAACCGCGGATTGTATTAACAATTTATGGAGATAAGAGCTCCTGAAAAAAAAAGAAAACATTTCACACTGATGATATCACATTTAAATATTAGGAGAATGAACTAATATGTTTAGTTTAGTTTTTTTTTTTTTTTTTAAAAAAACCCAATTAAAAAAAATACCTTTTTTTAAATATGAAATTCAATCTTCAAGGAAAATAATCGAAGATTGACGAGCAAAGCCATAGTGTAAACATAACTATCTTCGACTATAAAAATTTCCCGTTTAAGCGTACAAAAGCACTTCCACTATTTCATATGCATAGGAGGATCCGAAAAAATTTGAACTGAATTGAAATTAACATTAAGTTCGAGTAATGATGCCTAATTGAGTATTTAAATGTATTACTGTTCGCTATCTTAACATATCAGAAACATATCACAATGCTACAATAAGCGTATGAAATGTAAAGAAAGATAAAAATATATAATAAACATGCAAAATAAGCAAATAATTTTAATGAAAGCATTTTTTTTTTCGGATAAATCTAAAAAGCGCTAATTACATACGATCAAAATACGCCACAACGCAGAAATGTGTGAATGTAGATAGTATCTATGGAAGATAAATCTTATCACTACAAGAAGTAATTAAATAATGATCATTTTCTTGATCAATTAGTGACCATTGATGAATATACAAAATATGTTAATGAGTAATTAGGAGTACGATATTACAAATATAATCATTTCATTAATTGTAACTTGAAATAATGAAAGAGGATAGAATTACTTATTCATTCCTATTTACCATGATTATCCTGATCTTTCAGTGCATTTTTGGGTCATTCATTGACCCTTTTGAAGTATTTTCAATTATTTTACGGTTGTATACTTCTTGATCAGTTCTTATTCGACTAATGTTTTACGATACTTTTCCGTCTTCTCAATTCTATCATCATTTTTATCGTAGGAAAGTAAAGTGAAGTGAACGTAGAAAAGAATAAAATTTAAAGTAGAATTAAGAGTTAGAGGATAAAATGTAAAAAAATAAAATGAAAAAGAAAGTATGCAACAAATGACAAATTTAACTTAACTACTGTAATCATAACTATCAATTGTTAGCTTAATGCAAATGGATGTAGCGCTTATCACCATGGAGATAAGAAAAGATTAGATCATCAGATCCTCTCAACAATAGCTATACCCATAAAAACTCAATGATTTAAACCAGTCGTTAATCTTTCTGAATTATTCAATCTTATATTTTAACAAAAAAAAACAAAAAACAAAAAAATGGAAAAATGTGCAAGAAAAGTAATGAAAAGTTTCTGCACTTTTCCTCTTACTCAATATATCTCTTTTTTCTTTTGTGAAATTATGAAAGTTTTTGGAAATTTCAATAAAACGCGAGAAGTATTTGTAGGAGTGGAAATATTTGAGAGTAAACTGTGAAGAAATAGTTTACACTGATTTAAATTGATTTTTCACAGAAAGGAATATTTACAAAATCATTGAAAGAAAGCTTACTAACTCGTATGACATTTGCTGAAATAAAGCACTCTCATCCATCTTTTCATTGCATCAAAACACTAAATAATATATTTCAGATGATTGATCAAAAAGTTATACACGAAATTGAAAAAAGATAAATTGAATTTATGAAAAGATTTACGTGTTCCAATCAATATTTACAGCAGAAAAGCGTAGCAGCAATAATTCCATTTTATCACTTCAATATTTCAATATTTTGTTAAAAAATTTTTTGCAAACATTTGGTTAAATATTATTACGCCAATTTTAAACAAATATCAATAAATAGTGAAATTTTTAAGCATTGAAAATAAATTATTACAAAGTATATTTTAAGGAAAAAAAAATGGTAATAACAGAAATTAAGTCGCTATTTAGATGTTGAACATTTAAAAGTAAATGATAATAAAAGACAATATGAATGGTGTTGACGTTGCTGAAAGAAAAGCGCAGTATTAATAGATGCTAATGCTAGCATTAATATTTTGGAAAATACAAAAAGTTATTTTCTAATTTTCTGTAATAAACCATAACACTTGTATTTATTTATTTTTTCACTTTAATTTTAATTGAGATTGATATGTACGTATACAAATTAATTAACAACTCAGTAAAATTGATATGCTTTTTCAATTAAAAAGTCATACTGACAAAAAAATCGCATATTATATTATACTAATCACTTTTTTGTTGTAATCGGAAATAATTATTTGTTGATTAAGATTACTAATACTTCCAGCTTTTTTAAGATTACGATTAAGATTATTAACAGTTCTAGCAATGTAATCATTGTTATTGTTATAAAAATCAAAAAGATACTATATTTAAGTAATAATCTTTCAAGAAATGAATTGCTTTCTCAACTAAATGACATATTTTGATGATAATATTAAAGGGTATAATCAATGATAATATTCCTATCTGTGTTGATACGAATTTCTTAATCACAATTCAAATCATTCTCCCGATTTTCTTTACAAATTAACATGCCATATTTCAAGATTACTTAATCTATAAAGTACAATACGTCATTCTTTTCCATTA